CGCAAGGATAAAGTGAAAATTATAGATTCTTACAGGCTCGGTGATATAGTCAGAGCTAAAGTGGTATCGTATTGCCTTCGCATTCTGTATGCATTCTAATTTTTAAACACCGCATCTTTTAAAATTGCGATTTAAACAAGATATCTTTGGGAGATGCAAGATCATACTATTTGTCAACCATGGAAAACGAATATGGCGTGATTTATGCGCAAAGCTTGGCAGGTCGATGTCCAACAAGATCGGTACTCGCGCACATTTCTAAACGATTTATCTCACGTTTTTTTTTTCCTTTGACTAATTCCAGGAGCTGCAATGATTCCCATATCATGGACGAATATGCAATGTATCAAGACTGGTGAAATCGAATCGAGAAAATGTGCAAAACCTAACATATGACAAACGTTTTTTACTGGTGAATCGAAGGTAATCTTTTCAGTAACTCGGGTTTATCAATGATAAGTTATTGTGACTACGTAGATTATTTACATTTTATCATGTCATTGGTTAATTAAAAGTATGAAAGATTCTATCTGAATATAATAAATAAATAATAGTTGATTCAGAAAAAAATTTTATAACTTATAAAAAGAACGTGTCATTTTTATAAGCATTATATGAAGCTCGATCAAGAGAATTGAGTGCTACTTGCATGTCAGTATTAATGTCTTGGATGAGAGCATCTGTGTGAAAAAAATGAGTCCTGTTAATTTCGATTGAGGAAAGGAAGCGCAACATTGCAACTTACCGAGCGATGCATAATCACGTTCCGGACGTATATAACCCAATATAATTACACGTAACACCGCACCATAAAAGTCTTGAGGAAATGTATGGATGACATGAACCTCCTAAACAAGATATAGAAAACATTGATGCCTGCTTCCTCAACAACGTACAGGAAATAACTGTGTCCGTACCGCACTTCTCTTCTCATTTTTGTAGTAAGGATTCCATCCTAGACTCATAACCATTGGATAAACAGCGTGATCCTCGCCAACCTGCGCCCACCCAAAATAAATGCCGGTGTTTAAGTCTTTGCAAAGAGCCTCGATCGCTGCTTCCGAAAGGTTGGCTTATTGAAAAAAAGAAAAAGGTGAATTCTGGAATGAGTGAGTGAATTCGTTCGCTCGACAAGTACCTGTTGGAATCCCAAGCTCTTTGCTTCCTCGTCCAAATCCCTGAATCACCTCGCCTTTCATTTTTATTGGGTAAGGAAAGGCAGGATTCTCGGGGCCAACCAAAAGTGGACGTGATGTTTCTGACATTTGAACTATTATTATATACGCATAAAACCTACGAAGAGAAAATATACATGTGGAAACGTTTACGTAAGCAATTTCAACTGTATTACGCGCAGCCATTTTCCGTCATGTGATCTTATAAAAATCGTTTAAATTTTTGAAATGGGAATAAAAATAATTCAATCACTTTATTTGTCTATCGAAAAAGCACAATAAGTCCCAAAAATGTAATGCGAACGTGCTTTCTCAAATGCAACTATATGAATGGATCGTACAAAAATAAATGGATGTGACGGGAAACCTATTTTTACATAACTTTGATAATTTTGAGGAAATCAAGTCACATGTATTATTATTATTATCGCCAGTACCTGCTTTGTCAAGTGAAGAAAATACATTTGCGTCATTGAGTTATTTAATGTGACAAGAGTCTTCGCGTTAGATGTAGATTTAAATACCTTAACTCATGCCAATAGGTCATATGGAATATACATGCAGGGTCTAAAAAAAAAAACAACGTAATAAAGTATCAGTCGGAAAACAAGTCATCAATATATGCGTATGCATTCAATAATAATAATGATAAAAATAACGCACGTTACACCTTTCGTCTTTTTGCGACTAATGATTCATCATCATCAATGTTTACCTCCCTTTTACAAGATGACTCGGTTTCTTCCTCTTCGTCGTCCTCATCTTCATCTTGTGGTTTTGAAGTTTTCCGTCTTGAAGTTGAAGCAGCAGCTGCTTCGCTTGTAGATGGATCATCCAACATATCCGGATCACTTTCACTTTCATCCACTAAATCCAAACTATTCTCATCATCATCTTCTTCTTCGGAAGGATGATAATCCTCCTCCTCGGTGTCATCTTCATCTAGAATGCTCTAAAAAAATATTCAATTAATTCTAGGGCTTCTGTGGATGACTTATAAAGCATTAAGACTCACGCTGTTTATAAAAGTTTGTGTTGAAAACTCTTCTTCAGATTCATCATCTTGACTATCGGAGTTATCCTCATCGTCCAAGTCTATCGGCACCGCAACCGATTTTCCCTTATCACGCGAAGACACTTTATTTCTGGTGGTCGATGCTTCATCGACTTCACTCGTTTCCTGAATAGGCATACATGCGCATCCAATCGTCAAGTTATTAATTATAATGTGATAGAAAAAATTGCCGACTTACTAATTGTTCTTCTTCGCTATCCGATAATTCCACGACCTTTTTATGCATAATAACACGATAACCTCATCAAAAGGGTTGTCAAACTTTGTGTAAATTATCGAGCATGAATTAAAAAAGCCTACATTTTGTATTTCGGGATCTACTTCTGATTCTTCATCATTTGATTCGGATCCGGTCCCAACCTCCTCTTCACTATTTTCCCCTTCCGGATTTTCATCATCTTCCGAATCATCTTTGTCAGTAGAAATTTCGTGAATTTGGGCCATTGTCTCGGTGAACTGGTGCCGATCTTCGACAATCTACACAAATGTGCACACATAAAGAAACCAACCTGCATGCCCATTTGATTGTGTAACATCAGCATCCTCGTCTTCTTCGTCGTCCTCTTCCTCAGCGTCACTCTCTTCTTCGAAATCAACTGTTTTGCCCGAGCTACCGCAATTTATAATAAATTAAGCAAGAAATTTTGCGTTGAACACGAAATCAGTTTTAACCGAGGATGCGCCTACCGATCTTGATCATCAAGTGAATACAAAAGAGGTATGATTTTAAATATAACATCTCGGTAGTTTTGAATATGTGTAACCGGGCAATCGATTAAACTTAAATGCTTGAGACTTGGCAAGTTACGCTTAAAACGTAAAATAAATAAATAAATAGAACTAACAAATTTTCTCAAAGTATGTGTTTCAAATATATGGATAAAAATATATATATATACAATACCAGTGGTTCGAGTGCTGAAATTTCGCTTATTTTATTATTACTCAGATCAAGGTGATTTAGATTTTCTAGCTTGGCAGTTGCTAATGCCTCTAACCCACTGGATATTTTATTATCTGACAAAACAAGCTGAGACATGGAAAGAGTTGTGAATCTATAAAAACTTTTTTTTTTTTTTGAAAAAAAAAAAAAAATAGAAGACAAACAATACCCTTCTTAGTTTAGGCAACGTCGGAAAGCCTTCCAGTGAATGAAGGTGAGTACAATTCAAAGAAAGAATTTTCAGGTTGATCAGTTCATTGAGAGTGGTGAAATCTTTTTGATCTCCGGGAGAACCGGTAAGGTTTGAAATAGCTATGATCTTTTTACTATCGAGGTAAAGTTCTTCTTCCTCAGTTGGATCCTCGAACTGAAGCTTGCACTTGAATTCTTGATCAACCATATTGACTATCTTTTTTTCGAGAAACGTGCAGTTATTTGAAGTATGGAACGAAACGACAAAAAAGTTGACCAAAAACGCGTTTGTTCTAAACTGTTATGAGGCTTATATAACGGGATAGTTAATGTGTCCAATTCACGTGATTAACTTTATTGGAACAGTGAATTGTCAATGCGCTGACACGATGCCACGTGATTTATTGTTTGACACAACTCATTTCGTCGAATTCACATCGCTTTCTTGGTATCTTCTTCCATGTCGCACATCAAGACCATCACAAACTTGGTTGAATATCAACAGCTCATTTCCGCGCCAAAACTGGTATGAGATTAGTAACCCTAGACATTTTAAAAATTTTACACAAGTTTGAGATGAAATTATTGAAAATGAAAAATTTTAGACTGTCATA